AAATATTGAAGAGTAGTGCCTTGTGGAGATCGATAAATTATGAATTTGAATGACGAAAGCACACTGGTGTTGGCTTAATAACTTCTCAATAAAGCGTTCAAAACTTTATGTGAATCAAACTTTGCATTTGGAATACGTCAGTAAAGTTTGAAGGTAAGAATGTGGACACCCTACATAAATATTGAAGAGTACTGCGTATCTTGATGGTGCCTTGTGGAGCTCCATAAATTATGAATTTGAATGACGAAAGCACACTGGTGTTGGCTTCCTCATAACTTACCCATAAAGCGTTCAAAACCCTATGTGAATCAAACTTTGCATTTGGAATACGTCAGTAAAGTTTGAAGGTAAGAATGTGGACACCCTACATAAATATTGAAGAGTAGTGCCTTGTGGAGCTCGATAAATTATAAATTTGAAAGATGAAAGCACACTGGTGTTGGCTTCCTAACTTCACAATAAAGCGTTCAAAACTATGCGAATCAAACATCTTTGCATTTGGAATACATCAGTAAAGTTTGAAGGTAAGAATGTGGACACCCTACATAAATATTGAAGAGTACTGCGTATCTTGATAAGTTATAAATTTGAATGATGAAACCAACTGCTACCTTCCTTATAACTTATCAATAAAGCGTCCAAATCCCATACGAATAAAATATCTTATTTTTGCATTTGGAGTCTATCGATAAAATTTAGTAAAAAACTGGGACACCCTGTATAAAAATGGAAGAGCCTCGATAAATTATAAATTTGAATGACGAAACCAGCTAGTACCTTCCTTATAATTTATCAATAAAGCGTCCAAATCCCATATGAATAAAATATCTTATTTTTGCATTTTGCATACGTCGAGTTTGGTAAAAAAGTGTGACACCCTATATAAAAATTGAAGGGCCTCGATAAATTATAAATTTGAAAGACGGAACCAGCTGTGGTACCTTCCTCATAAGTTATTAATAAAGCGTCCAAATCCCATATGAATAAAATATGTTATTTTTGCATTTTGCATACGTCGAGTTTGGTAAAAAAGTGTGACACCCTATATAAAAATTGAAGGGCCTCGATAAATTATAAATTTGAAAGACGAAACCAGCTGTGGTACCTTCCTTATAACTTATCAATAAAGCGTCCAAATCCCATATGAATAAAATATCTTATTTTTGTATTTGGATTCCATCGATAAAGTTTGCTAAAAAAGTGTGACACCCTGTATAAAAATGGAAGAGCCTCGATAAATTATAAATTTGAATGACGAAACACCGGTATACTTTCCCGAGAAGTACAGGCGCAATTAGGTGTATATGGTGATACGTGCGTGGTAGAGGAGTGTCGAAAATTGGAGGATCTCAGCACCATAAAAGTAACGAGAGGCAGAGGCACAGGAAGAATATGGGAGACGAGAAAGAAAACGTTCGAGTTCTCGAGGGGACCGAGGGAACCGACTCGTGTGTGGGCATATTGCTCTTTTGGCGTGGGTTTCGAAATACATGGTCGGTCATTGTCCATCGATCGACACCGTGCTTCTGCTTGCTTGCTTCACTTGCTTTCGCGAACTTCCTTTTATAGCGATCAAATGTAACCTTACGTTTATTCCTTTCTTCCTTCTTTCGATATCAAACTATTTCTTCATGTGAACTGATAGAAAGGTCGGACAGAAACTATTTCTATTTCGTATTCAATACAAAAGGGATTTTAATAAAAAAACTCCCAGTTTTTTACCATCAAACTTTATCGACATGTTCCATAAATAAAAATAAGAAAACTTTGTATCTCAACAAGCAATATCAACATTGCACTTCAACTGTGAAGTTCAACTGTGTAGCTCAATTAGCAATATTAACATTGCATCTCAACTGGCAGTTTCAACATTGTACCACAACTGTGAGGTTCAACCATGTATTGCAACTTCTTCTATTAACATAGAGTTCAATAGAGTTCACATAGAGTCTGTTATAATTTTTGAACAAAGTACTTGAACCCTATTTCGCAACATTTATCGACATCCATAAATAAAAATAAGAGAAAGACTTTCTATTAACACAGAGTTCAATAGAGTTCACATAGAGTCTGTTATAATTTTTGAACAAAGTACTTGAACACTATTTCGCAACATTTATCGACGTCCATAAATAAAAATAAGAGAAAGACATTCTATTAACATAGAGTTCAATAGAGTTCACATAGAGTCTGTTATAATTTTTGAACAAAGTACTTGAACCCTATTTCGCAACATTTATCGACGTCCATAAATAAAAATAAGAAAAAGACATTCTATTAACATAGAGTTCAATAGAGTTCACATAGAGTTTCTTATAACTTTTTAATAAAGTATTTCAATCCTATGTCGCAACATGTATTTCTACGAGATGTCGATCTTCTAACAGATAACATAAAGACCTAATCCCTTAACGATATTATCTAGCGGATATGATACAACAAATATCGACAGGATTAGTTACATAAGAAAAGTTACATAAGAAAAATAAGTTGTATCAGAAATTGTTTTCTTCACTTGGTAGCATTAGCAGGTAATCGGCAACACCTTTTCGTTCGAGAAAATTCCATTTCCGTCGATTTGTACGCAGGTTGTGACATTTCTAAGAATTATTTCCAGCCTTTCCGAACCATTCTGCGGCGTCGGTTCTCTCTCTTTTCTTCTGGTTATCTCCGCACTCGTTGTGTATCGTGTAGCGATACGTGGATACCAGATACTCGGTACACCACTGATTAATACCGACGTTTGTCGCCCGATATATCCGGTGATTAACGTCACTCTTCCCGTCCGGAAAAGGACGCGACTAAAGTGGCGACTTAAAAATATTCGCTTCCCGTACTAATTAACCCGATTGCGACATCCAAAATTACCCTGGTAATTCCAATAATAATCTGAACTTTCCGAGATGAGTCCATTCTTCATAAACACGTCTCCTCTTTATAGGAAAAATTAGGAAAATTACTGGAAGGTAAATTATAAATTGATACAAAGACTTAACGAATCAGAATATCTTATTTATTCTGTGACGTGTTGTCATCTTTATAGCACAAGAATGTCTCCTCAGCAAAAAATTGGCCACGAAGAGACCAACGTTACCATGTTCGTTGACTATTCTTTATCCTTTAACCTCTTAAACTTTCCCCTGCAACCAAGAAAGCACTCTGACAAAACTCACATCACCTGCTTTCGCCATTTGCATCTATACAAACCCTAAATGTCTAACACCTTTAAACACTCTTTCTTTCGTCAAATATTTTTGCGAGGTTTTTGGAACATCCTGTAGAAACAAGAAAGCCCGAGCACGTCGTTTAGAATCGTGTTATTGCCGTAACACACCTGCAGCTGCAAGAGCGTCAAGTGGGCGACAAACCCGGACGCAACGTTGCTCGGAGACAAGCACAGATTGCCGCTTATCTTCTCGAACAAAAAATCGAATAGTTTGTGCAACTACGAATAATTAACCCCTTCGCTGGCTAAGTCTGGTCATCGCAGACGGTTGATTTATCAATGAGTTAATTTGATGTGTTAGCCAGATTTGTGCTCCTTCGATGACCACTTAGTTTGCAGTTGGAATTCAAGAAAATAGGTGAATAAGGGATGATGCGTGGCAAAATTACTGTAGTTGAGAAATTTCTTTTAGGAATGTTATAGACTAGTTTATATCTTAATGTTGATACCTGAGTTTATTGATTGATTGATTTTATGAGGATTGCTATGATCATTGGCTCTGATACCTCAGTTGGTGCTTGATACACTGTATATGAATGGGAGTAGATATAAGTGACTTTCATATTAAAAATTAAATTGAAACATAGACCATAAAATATGAAGGAATGTACACATTAACCCTTTGCATTAACTGTTAATTTTAAAAATTTGATGAATGCTTCTGAAATTATTATTTTTCCATTATAGTCACTCTTATCATATTTAAACGTCACATGCACAATATAGACGTAGTTAAAAAATATTTCAAGTTGTTGTTGCCTGCCGAAGTTACTTTTTTCCAGTGCATCAAACACATGAAATTTTGTACCAAAACTGAAATATCCATAAAAGTTCTAACAATTACTGAAGTAATTTGTATTTGAAGTATTCTAACAATTATTGAAGTAATTTGTATTTGAAGTGTACTAACAATTATTGAAGTAATTTGTATTTGAAGTGTACTAACAATTATTGAAGTAATTTATATTTGAAGTGTACTAATAAAAATTGAAGTAACTTAAGAATGTAAGAATTGAGGAACGTGCTCGATCAGTCGAGGTTACGTAAACGTTACTTTTTTAACACCCTGTAGACTTCGTCCTACAAGATCCAGCAACCTACGTAGCCGCGTATCTGCCTACTCGATCCACCGATTCTCGACGGCATTCGCGTCGAAAAACGTTACCTACGTCCGAGTCGGCCCTGACGACGCGCAATGCTCAGGTACTCGGTTTTCTCTCGACTTCCGCTCGCAGAAAGGAATGCATAGGCGGAGTTATACCCACGCGGCGAGACACACGCCGATCGTGGATAGAAAATAAAAAGAACGTTCGGCGACACGATCCGTATGCCACGGAAAATTTTTACAATTTTAATTGATCCCTTGATCAAGTTTCCTCGTTTCGATTAACGCTTTGACCGACATTGAATTTACCGGAAAGTCTGATTATTTTTAACAGAGCTTGACCTTTTTTATTGACTTGATATTTAGGAAATATAAAAGCACAAATCTACGATGTTTTTACATTTGCAAATGATCAAATGAAAAAATTATTGAACCTCGAAAATTCTTTACATTGTGAACGCCTTCAGATCCGATAGTGTAATTTTACACAGCTTGAATAAGTGAGACCTTCTTATTATTTGCTGCGGAAATGATTAATGACTAATAATAAATAATAGAGATCAAACTCAAAAAATAAATCTAACATTAGATAAAAATAAAGTGAATTTATAATTTTGATCACTAGTGTGTTAGTCGATGTCTAACGATTGTCGTATTTTGATTTTGCAGTTCATAGAGTTGGGCATGGTGACGAGTATAGAGTACGATCACAAGGCTGTGGAATCGGCGAGAAAGGGTCAAGAGGTGTGCGTGAAAATTGAACCGATACCAGGAGAGGCGCCGAAAATGTACGGCCGTCACTTCGACGAAAAAGATTTTATCGTCAGCAAGGTAAGTTAATGAATCAAATTCTCTGCATCAACCATTTTTTTTTTAAATAATGTGTTGGTAATGAACACATTTGTCGATGAATACATGTCCATGAAATATTTCTTGTAATCCACAAAAATTCGTATAAACCAAAATACACGATTCTGTTTAAAAAGTATCTGATCATTTCTCGAAACATAAATATAAATTTACCATATGTTATTATATCATATATAAAAACGACGGACTTTCTTCTTTTATATTTTTCATATATTAAAAAATGAAAAATTTCGCTATTTGAATATGTAAAAATTGTTGTACATCTCCCAAAAAAATTATTGCAATTTAAGCTTGCGAATTAAAGATATATCGATGGAGTAAACGATTATAAGTCGAAAATTTGAAAAGACAGCTGCTCGGAAGGAATTCGATCGACAGGTGGTTTGGGTCGTTGATGAAATTCCGCTAGAGAATCAAGTGTACGTTTTCGTTCTTTCTTTTTTGTTCTTCTTCTTCTTGTTTGCCCCACTCTTCGTTGTTCGCTGTGGTCGATTCGCATGGCTTTGCAATTTCATCAAAATCAGAGGCGAGACGGAAACGATCCTTATTAGTATGCGAGACTTTGGTCGAAAAAGGAAGATGCACATCCGGCAGCGATCAGGCGTCCAACGTCGACTTCCGGCCTTCGCAGAACTTCCATTCCATTCTTCCTCCTCCACCACCACCGTTTCCTCCACCTTCTTGCCTTCTGCTTCTTCTTCTTCTCTCTTTAGCGCTTTTCCTTTTTTTGTTAGCTTCGGATATCGATTTACGAATCGACCGATCGTGTACTTTAATGGAAACGAAAATGATCGTTCTCTTCTTACTAATTGAAGCGTACTTATTGAGTTGACGCGTGTTATATTGCCACTTATTAGATTACCACGCGTTATATTGCCCTTTATTGGATTTCCACGCGTTAGATTTCCATTTATTGGATTTCCACTCGTTATATTGCCATTTATTGGATTGCAAGGCGTTAGATTTCCACTTATTGAATTGCCACGCGTTATATTGCCACTATTGGATTGCAAGGCGTTAGATTTCCACTTATTGAATTGCCACGCGTTATATTGCCATTTATTGGATTGCAAAGCGTTAGGTTTCCACTTACTGAATTACCACGCGTTATATTGCCATTTATTGGATTGCAAGGCGTTAGATTTTCACTTATTGAATTGCCACGCGTTATATTGCCATTATTGGATTTTCACGCGTTATATTGCCATTTATTGGATTGTATGGCGTTAGATTTCCACTTATAGAATTGTCACGCGTTATATTGCCATTTATTGGATTGCAAGGCGTTAGATTTCCACTTATTGAATTGCCACGCGTTATATTGCCATTTATTGAATTACAACGCGTTAGATTCCCACTCATTGAATTTCCACGCGTTATATTGCCATTTATTGAATTACAACGCGTTAGATTCCCACTCATTGAATTTCCACGCGTTATATTGCCATTTATTGAATTACAACGCGTTAGATTCCCACTCATTGAATTTCCACGCGTTATATTGCCATTTATTGAATTACAACGCGTTAGATTCCCACTCATTGAATTTCCACGCGTTATATTGCCATTTATTGAATTACAACGCGTTAGATTCCCACTCATTGAATTTCCACGCGTTATATTGCCATTTATTGAATTACAACGCGTTAGATTCCCACTCATTGAATTTCCACGCGTTATATTGCCATTTATTGAATTACAACACGTTAGATTCTTACTTATTGAATTGCCACGCGTTACATTGCCATTATTGCATTATCTCGCGTTATATCGCCACTATTGCATTATCTCGCGTTATATCGCCACTATTAGATTACCATGCGTTATATTGCAAATTAGTGAATTATCTCGAGTTGCATCGTTAAAATTGTCAAAATTTTATTTTAGTACTCGTAGACCAAAATGTTGAAATCTCGAAATATCACTAAAAATCAATGTACGAGATACTTTTATTCTACGTATTTTCTATACCAAACTTAAATTTACTCTCCATTGCATGTATCTCTCGAAGCCTCATCCGTGGCAATATAACGAGAGTTCACGGTACATACGGATTTAATTAATTATTCTTCCACCGAACAAAAGGCACGCTACACCCGTGATTCTAATGGTTAAATAAATTATCATCTAGTTAGTTTAAATGAATTTTAATTAATAAAAAGGATACGATAACTATCGAGATGTAATATGCATTACTTTTTCCACGAGGCATTTTAATTTCAATTTCATGTATGTAGATTCGCGTTATCAATGAAGGTATTATAATTCGAAGAAACACCGAAACGATCGTTGTACTTGCACGAATTGCATGTTAAACAACGTGTCAACTAGTATATCGCAGTGTATATACTCCTTTCCTGTTGCTCTATCTGCTTTTTTCCGGTTGTGCACGCGTGCATACGAACGTTTCTATACCGAGTACATAAAGTTGTTCTAGCTTCGGTATCTTTGTGTGCTGGCGAGCGGAAATCGTTGTTACCGTTTGCTTCGTAGAATCGATTCTCCGGAATCGCTCTGTTCCCACGATGATTCGTGGACCGACGATTTCGAACCTTCGCCACGACTTTCGTGGAAATATTCGTTTATACAAATTAACGAATATTCTCTTCACTTTGGAGCAATTAGGCAATCTATAAATTCGTACAGCGTCATCCGGATATATGACCGTAAAAATATCCAGTTATATAATCACAAGATAAATCATACAGTATTTTTAAAAATATTTATTCAAGTAAATATTGAAGGCTGCTATGAACCATTCATACAATTTTTGCAGAGTAAAAGTTTTACAAAACGGGTGCAAAGTTAAATCTGTAAAAAACCAGGACATGCAATATATGGCATCAAAAACCGGTCCAAACTTGGTACTTTTATTACGACTTGCTAAAGCTCGTAACTCCACATTAAAACATCCTTATAAAGTATATTAAAGTCCGGTAGTAAAGAACACAGTGTATACCGTATCAACATATCGATATTCATATCGACGTCATCGATACCGTCGTTCCACGACCGGCGACCGTGTTTCTAACGACCGTCGGTTTTTCGTTAGAGCGTGCCAGAGTCACGGGGTTAAGCAACACAGGCGATAGAGTAGCCTGAAACCGCTGATAAAAATGTGTGTAACTACGAAAAACCGTAGGATACTCTCTCAAGAGTGAAAGAGAGGAGAAGAAAGGAAAGAATGAGACGGGAAGGAGAGCTGCGTGCGCATCGTGCGTGCGTAGAGTGCGTAGGAGAGAGAAAGAGAGCGAAAGAAAGAGCAGGAGCATGAATGGCAGAGCGTACGGGAGCGAGACAACGCCGGTGCGACGGTCGGAGAGAGAGTGAGGCGCGCGCGGTCTGT